TGAGAATGCTCATTCATTCAGCTTTTCATTAGAGCTTGGATCTCATTTTAAAAAAAAGACTTCGTCCGAAATGTAACGAGCTGAACGAACCGGACTGCGTTGGCCGAACGATTTAATAGTTCTGACGATTAATTTTCCATTCACTTAAGAGTCTTAAGACATACAGCTCAAGTCGAACATGTGTTCTTTCTACAGGTTTCATCAATCTTAAAATATTGTAAAATTGCCAAAAAAGGCAGTGAATTTTGGATAGTAAGGAATCGACTTTCAATGCAACGCTCGGAAAATTCGATGTTATAGAAAAGACATTGCAAAGCAAAGTTGTATACAAAATAAATAAATTGAATACTTTTTTGTAAATTGACGACATTTGTTGAGATATGTAGAACACGAACCAAAAACTGAAGTAAATAACGATAGTTAAAATATGTTTAAATTTTTCTCGATTTGGAAAAAAGAGAACAAGCTCATGCAAGAGAGAGAGAGAGAGAGAGAGAGAGAGAGAGAGAGAGAGAAGATCAATGCTGTGCAACAGGAACAAGTGCCTTCGATTGATATTATTTGATAATGAAGGTGCTGGCATCTGTGTAATTAAGTAAAAAAAATAGTCAAGAAAGCATTTATTCCATCGCTTCGACAGATGACAATAGCTGTGTTTGCTCTATTGAAATCGAAACTCAATTGTAGCGATTAAATTCGTTATTTCATGTGTGTGTGTGTCGACTAAAACAAACCTTCTATCAACTCGCCTGCAGATAGCCAGCTGACACAAAAACGAGTCCCCTTTCAATTGAACCTATTGATTTATTTGGTTTCTCCGTTTTTTTTTTCGCAAAGAAAGAGTTCATGTGCAGGAAATGTCGCATATTTGAATATGTACAACAGTTTGAAAATTATGCATTTTATGAAATAACAATGACAAATCGTTATGAATTTCCCGATTCGAAGCAGCCGAAACATTTCATGGTTAATCATTTCGAACAGACATACGACAATATATAATAATAAAAATATCTACCGCATTTTAATGAAAATGTTCATTTGATTGCAATTTATGATCGAAAAACTACTCAACCAAAAATGATATCCCCACAACCATGTCGCTTGACTCTTTTTTATGGTTTTGAACGAAAGAAAAAAAATTGACAAACAAAAATAAAAACAGAATATTTATGCGCCAAGCGAAGAATAAAAAAACCTATCGAACCGCCACAATGCAATTTAAGAGTAAGAAAAAAACGCGCAATGCAAACGACGACAGAATGAATGGATGAACTCTTTTTTTTCGGTTGTTGATTGCAATGAACGAAGGAGAATTTAAGAGAGAGCATATGTGAGTGTGAGCAAAAGGGTGGATCGAAAAAGAGTCCAAAAGTCAGTGAGTCCGACAAAGACCGAGACAGAAAATGAGACGTTCGACTTAAAAAGTCCAAAAAATAACACATGTTGACGCATTTTGAATAGTTTGCTCTGTATCTCTGTGGTTTTCTTCGATTCATACGAGCAGAAGAAAACAATTGATTTTTTTTTCTCGGTCGATTGTCAGTCAGTTGGGCCTTGTTGAAGACGAAAAAAAAAAACACAATTCGCTAGATTTAACTCAACTTACCATATGCTTTGAATATATGATGATTTAAACATTTTTTGTGGTTGCCGTAGCCGCCACTGTCGTTGAGTACGACGGTTTTGCATTGTCACGGAAGGAATCGAGCGTAAGAATAGCATGCCAAATATCGATTCATTCAACTCAAATGTCCGTATTTATTATTGACTTAATTTTTCGTGATTTTTTTTTGCCTCTTGTACACATTCTCTGAAAAATAATCTCTTTAAAATAGTCATAGTACGCAACGGTGTAGTATTTTTCAGAGAGACATTAATTCAAAAGTTTTTTTCATCAAATTTGTTTAGGGACAAAATTTTCTCTCTTCGGAATTTTTCCTAATTCAAGTATCGTTCCTTCCATTCGAATCGATTTCCAGTCTTTTGGTCAGAACGTCTCAATTTCATGGACACATTCGTTCAATTTAATCGTTTTTTTTTGTTGTTTCGAAAAAGTGACATGTTTCACCCCGAGGAAAACTTGTTTTTTCTTTAATTACAACCTTTCACAAAGAAATCCAACGCAATTTTCTTCAAAGCGAGAGAAGTTTTTCCCATTTAAATAAAGTGTGTCGTCAATTACAATTCCAATATATCACCTGGCAATTAGTTAATTATATAGCTGAAATGGCTCAGAAAAAAAGAAATTCTCTGGTTTTTCTGAAGAAAATAAGAAGAAAAAAACACCTACAAATTAAAACTTTGACACACCAAACTCTATCGATAAATCAAGAAATTTACTTTCAAACGCAATTTTAATCAATGGCTTTGTTTGAAAAACTCTACACCGTTTTATGCGTATATCATTGCTGGTGCGGTGTGTTTGTCGCTTTTCTCACACATCATTTTTCAAAGTGACGCACAAGTTTTTAACACAATTTTTTTCCTACCAGCAACAACTATACGGCAATTAGAACACGCAACAAAGCCGACATCACTTGCACAGCTACTTTATTATCAATTTGATTATAATCAAATATTATTTCCGTTTATAATAATAGAGATCATCGGAATAACGGGATTTCGTCAAAATAATAATCACCTTGATTTTTTCTGTGTAATGATTGATTCGATTGAATGTACTTTTATAATTAAATAGAATTTATAATAAAGTTCTTTTGTAATATATAAGATTTTTTCCGAATGTCAGAAAATTATTCGGATATGAATCCAACCAAATTTTCCATTGTTATTGTTTTCTTTCCATTCGGCGGAAGTGTGGGTGAAAAAAAGATTGTTTCAAGGTTAGAATCGAAATTGTAATCTTTTTTTAAACCTCTAGATCTTCGTATTTACAAATGAAATCCATCTTGAGACATAGGCAACACGTTTTTCTGCGTACTTATTCGAATAAAGTTCATATCATAAGTTATCTCTACGTTTCAACGTGCAATTGTTGTGGCCATAAAGTGGATAAGTATTTGTTAAGATTAGAGGTTCGGAGAAATTCACTAGTGCTAATAAATAGCAATAGCTATTTGATTGGTCATTGAAATGTCGAATTTTCGAATACACTTGCCCTGCATTGACGTCATCTGCATTATTCTTCCAATTTCATCTTGATATTCTTTAACACGATTATATGTTACCATAGAAACTCATGCCAAAATGTTCGGTTCTAAATTGAAACTGATATTATCTTTTAACATCTTCAATTTCTGTTATAAGTTAGAGCAAAGACTTACCAATATTTGTTTGCCGCAGACTTACACATTTAGTCTTTTTGAGAAGAATTCGATTATAATTGAAGTGTTTTTTTGCTTTCAGCGATTTTTTCGATTGTTTCACGCCACAAACAATAAAAATTTAACTAAAATCCCATGCTCATTTTAAGTGGGATTTTGTAGCAGGACGATTTGAATGCTCGAAACAGTTGGAGAGAGACGGCGTCCCTTTCCGCGATGCTTTATTCTTACCGAATGAAGAATTTCTAGAGATTTTCTGAAGAATAGGGGCAAATTTCGAGTTAATATCTCCTTCCATAGTTGTTATTTTGAACCTTTGTGAACTTTTGACCTTGTTAGGTTCGTATTTTGTCGGTAATCTTATGAAGAATGTTACTTTCTGAATCTGATTATAATTGGTGAGTGTATATTTATGGTGATTCGATATTTTACGTACATTTTAAACACATTCCATGCCATTTAGTACCATCAAATTCACCTTGCTCCTAGTAGGCTTCACCAGCTGGTTTTTGAACAACATCACCTCAAATAAAGTTCAATATAAACACACTCAGATGAGTAGTGTGAATGTAAAAAAGTCACCAAAAATTCGATTTTAGTTTCAAAAGAGTTTCCCATTTGCCCCTTGAATTTGTTAAATGCTGAAAATTCTTTCAAAAATAAATAAAAACGCATGTTTAAATGTCAGTTTCAATAATATTTAGAATTTATTTACACGATGCTTTCTTTCAATGTCACTTTTGTTGTCATTTATAATATAATTGTTGTTTGTTGATTAAATACAGCGATTACACGAATGAAATTAGCCACGAAAGCCAAAGATAAAATGTTTCGTTCTTTGTTTGGATGTCTTTCTTTTGTTGTTGCATGTTTCGAATAAATAAAATGTAGTTTTGTCTTCATTAAAGTCGAATTGTGAAAATCTAAATTCCGTGCGCATGTATGTGTATGTGTTAAATATTGCAATTGTGTTGTATTGAAAATGTTTTTCAAAAGTTTTTTTTGTTGTTTATTTATTTATTTTTAAATCTATTTTTCAAATAGATTCTTAGAAGCTAAACGAAACACGTATTATATAAATTTGTGTATGTGTGCTTTGCATCGAGAAAGAGGTACACACACCGCATCAATCTCGTGCCCTTAAAATTTCTTCAAATTTTTCCATTCTTTTTTACGATTAGGGTTTTTCTGTTTAATAAACTAAGGACGTGAATGAAAAACTAAGAGGATAAATGGGGATACCCTTAAGGAGATAAGCAAATGTACAATTTTATGCAATTAAATTTAATCTAATAAATATGCATTAATAATGAGAAATAGTGAGTGAGTGTGTTTGTGTGTGTGTTTGTTGTGTATGTTCTGAATTGAGATTTCTTTCATTTAGTTAAACTTATAATTAATATATCATCTTAAACACGTTTAGTTTACACAATGTATTTGGTGTGGCCACACCTGCCACATTTATCTAAATATGCAATTTTAGTTTTGTCCTTCACATTAGTTCTACATTTAGGAATTTGCTTGTTTAAATTACAAATAAACGAGGATTATACTTTCATATAGAATAGTTTTTTTTTCTTCATTTTTAATATATACTTCTTCACATATATTTATAATATATAATATATTTATAGTTTAAAGTGAGAGAGCTTGGGGGGGTTAGAGGAATTCAATGCAATTGTTTAATATAATTGTTCTTAATTTGTAAATTTGTTTTTTTTTGTGTGTGTTTGTGTATCTTGCACTTACTTAAACTTGTATATGCCATAATTTCAATTAGACTGATGTGATTAAATTTTGTGACCCCTGACCGGGGTCAGTTTGGATTGCATAACGCCGTTGAATCGATCCTTCATTCATTGGATGCGAAGATTGTTTTCTTCCGTTCACTTGGAACCAACTTGGTTCTGAAGACTCTTCATTAGCTCCAATTCGAGCCCTAGGTGTCCTAAGCCACCGTGGCTGTGACATTGTTGACAACATCAATCGGTTCGATGTGATTGACAATGTCATCGTTTGAAGAATGATTGTTGGCGTTCAATACCGTATCGGCCTCACGTAAAAATGATGTGGATTGCGTTGTGAATTGTGTCTTAAATTCATGTCACTGATCGACCAAATCGATTTTCGGTGAATCACGATCATCATGAATTGCACCATTTTTATCAGCATCTAAACCGTTTACCATTTTTTCAATGCTTTTCAATTCAGACGGTGAACTGCGCATCGTTGGTTTATCATTTGAAACGACAATGGTTGGCGACACCGAAATGGGTCGTTGTGAATTCAATGGTGGCGAATGATGTTGTGAATGTGGTTGATGATGATGATGATGATTTCGCATCGGTCGCGGGCTACTACTTAAACTTCGTGGACCACCGCCACTTGTTTTTGATGGTGTGACCGCATCAAATGCCGAACCCGAACCAGACGATGGAAGATTGTATGGTGCAAAACGATTATTTGAACTTGATGTGGTTGACAATAAACTACTGCTACCCGATGTCACCGGATTATTATTGTTATTACCTTTGAGCGCATGCAATGGTGACACTTGTGAATGACCTGAATAATGACCGAAAAATGCTGGATGCTGGGCGGCCAACGCTAATTGCGCATTGAATAAATTAAAATTCAAATTTTGATGATTCATTGCAGCTGCCGCAGCCGGATTATGCAACAATGATAAATGATGCGGAGGATATATACCGTGCGGATATAGATAAGGCAATAGATGGGGCGGCGGATGTATTGGTGGTCCAACTGATATATTTGGCGCTGGATATGATGCCGAACCAGACGATGATGTATTGTTTGGTTCTTTTGGACTGTTTGCCGTTGGACGAAATGCACCGGTACTGCCGCCAACACTTTCTGAACAACTTGAATCGCTACCATCACGTTCGGATTCATCGCCCGTTGTTGCATTGTGCATTTGAATACGCTTACGCAACATATCTTCATTTGTTAAATGAGCATCACCGACACCAGCAAAGTGATTGAACCAAGCAGCTAGTTTGGAAAATGGAGAAAGAGATCGATTAATGATTTGAATCCAGTTTTTTCTCTAGAAAATTTGTTCTTTTTAATACAAGTGGGAACAGGTTTTTTATATGCTTTTTAGTGAAATTTCTCAATTTTTTTCTGAATTTTAATCGGGGAAAAAATTGAATAATAATTACCTGCATGAGAACCGCTGTTGAATTGCGACAAATGACCTGTTAATTGCAAAAAAAAAGGAAAAAAATGCATCAAAAATCACGACTAGAAACCGTTTTTTTTAAGTTTTAGGCAATTTTTTGGCACACAATGTGCAAAAGAGAAGTTTTTCTCGACTGAATACTTACTCATAGGCAACAGAGGGCTTTGTGGTGGTCCAACAACGTCAAGAAGTTTATCATCATCATCGCATAGATCGGGTCGGGTGCGTTGATCAAAATGATGTAGTGCCCGGGAACTGGTTACATGTGTCGGATTCAATTTATCCGAATCTCCGCCAACGCCACGCTGTGCCAGTAACGCTTGCCTACAACAGTAGTTGGAAAGAAAAACACAAGGATTTCTATGATAATATATTCGACAAAAAACGTGAAATGTTCAACATCTATCATTTTCATTAGTTAAACTCATGTAAATAATCAAGGGTTGTTATCGCATAGCGATGCTACTCATTCAATGCAATTCAATTCTTTTTCTTTTTTTTTTTCGAAAAAAGTTTGAATAACAGATAAAACTATTCTCGATGCGAAAAAGTTCGTCAAACACTCGTAAAATGTTCGACTCGAATTAATAAAGCCGAAACGAAAAAATAAATCGATACGTAATTTGCAATGGTGTTATCATCGTTGCGAAGATTCTCGGAACAGTTTGCCATCTAATCGTGTAAAATTTGCATAATATTGCATTCACAATTCATTGTTGTGTGTGTGTGTGTGTGTGTGTGTGTGTGTGTGTGTGTGTGTGTGT